AACCGCTCAGTCTTGTCGAGGCGGTGACCCACCTCGGTCCCTATAGCACCTACCAGCTCACGCGCAAAGTCCCGAACCCCCAACTTTATGGAACGCACAGCTATGTGTTGACTSCTACTAAAATCATATTGCTCCGCCTGAATTCGTGCCAGGCGTGCAACGTTTCGGGCTATGACTCGCATTTGCGCTGGGAGTTCGGTCTGGGCGGCCAGTTGCTCTTCTATATTCTTTACTTCCTCTAATTCTTCTGCCGCCTCCGCTGCCGCGTCCACTCTCCTCTTCTTCTCCCTCATCACTACCAACTTCCACTCCATCCTCTTTTCGTCTTCCAATGCCTGCCGCTTCACAACATCCTTTTCTGCTTCCCAAGCTCTCATAGCGGCTTCTCGATCATCTTTAGAGATATACATCGCCACCTCTTCTTCTTCGCCCAGGGATAAGTTGGCGACCCACTCGGAGATTCGCTTCTCCATCTCTTCATCCCTACTACCACTGTACTGCACCCTCTTCCTCTGCAATGGCGTTTCATCTTCTTCCTCCTCTTCCACCTCTTTCATCTTCTCTTCTTCTTCTTTCTGTATCCTCTCCTTATCTTTGGCCATCTCTTCCTCTATCTTCTTCAGTTTGGCCGCCTGCTCCTCCTTCAAGGCCTTCTTCTTGGCCTCCTTCTTCTCCTTCTTCTCCTGCAGAATGGCGGCCATCTTCTCCTCCTCCTTCGTGTAGGGGTTGGTGGAAGTCCCACCACGAGTGGGCCCTACTCTACACATGAAAGTGGGCCAAAAGCCCAGAGGAAAGAGGAGACGCCAAATGGTCCCCCAGAGGGAGAACCCAACAAGTAGCCCATACATCGGATAGTCATCCATCGTGGTGTTGGTGCACGACAAAGGTCCCACTCCTCACCACGTAGACCTACCCGGACACTCTAACCTCCTGACTGACTCCCTAAGGACCACAGGATAAGACCATGTCAATGATGATCACAACTAACCCAAGACTACAAAGGCTGTCACTACAGAACCAAGAGCTGATCAGGAGGTATTTAAGAAGATCCCCCAAACTTCGCAAGAATTCTTTAACGTCGCAGACAGGACGACGCGATCAGCTTGGTTCCTCTGGCGATTTCAGCCCACAACTCAGCCCGTCCAGCCTCCTGTGCCACACCGAGCAGCCCGCCGGTCAGTACCGGTCCTTGGAGGGGTTCGTATCCCTCGGGACAGTCGGGTCGTCAGACACGGATCATCAGCCTTCTGGGTCCGGTAGGAGAGTGGCTCAACCAGGCCTCAACACTTAAAGACGGCCTTCGTTTCAGCCTACAGCTCGAAGTTTAGACCCTCCACACTGAACTCAGTAGACCTGCCGGACAGTACCGGTCATTGGGCTAGACGAGTTGTTTAACGAGCGCTCGCCGCTCTTGCCCAGGTCTCCAAGTGCCAGAGTAGAGCTTTGGTCCTACTAAGCCCGTGCAGGTTTGGCAGCAAGGCCCTATCCTTCATCCACAGAGTCCTAGCACCTAAGACAGAAGAGACTCAATGCAGAAAGAGTAGACAGACAACTCAACAAGTACCATGGGGTAAGTGCACATCCACAGGGTAAGGGGATAGGCT